AAAAAAGGCAATCAAGTTTGTTTGCACTGACAGGCTATACTACTAAACTAGCTGCAGCCTCCTTAGCATCGGTTCAAGAGTTCAATCCCCAGCCAGGGAGCTGACCCAGATGGTGCAGCAGATCTCTCCTGACCTGTCCACTACTCCATATGCATGGATAAATAAATCTTTGGGGGGGGGGGAAGCAATCAAGTTCATGCCGACCCAATCATTGTTTGAACATTTTCTTGATCGGTATTATTTCCTTACTCTGAAAGATGCTTTACAACTGGAGTAAATACAGTTCAGTCAGACTCTCAATGGCTGTTATTTAAAATTCTCCTCACGTTAGACAGAGTCATTTAAACACAGAATTAGCATTTTCAGAGTAGGATTCCCAGTCTGTCCTCCTGGATAGTGAGTGATTGGGTGCCACTACATAAGCCCCCAAAGCTTCACCCACTCTGAGCAAGATGCAGGCAGTCACTGCCAGAACACAAACCCAAACCCACATCTGCAATGACAGTTGAGGACCAGAACTCAGAGGTAGCTGAGCTGCCTCAGTTTCCGCAGGGAGTCTGAGAGCAGATTTAAGGTGAGAGAGTAAAGCAGTGAGAGGCTGACTTGGCATCTCTGACAGCTTCAGTCCCTAGACTTCCCCCATGCCCTGCCCTCTCCTGGGACAGTCATGCCCTCCCACCTGTCACACCGTGTTTCTTGGGCTAGGACTGGAAGGTCCCAAGGAGACAGAAGTAAGAGAGGGGAAGTCTTACTGAGCTCCCGGGCAGGCGGCGAGGTCTGCAGGCTTCCCAGAGGGGGCCTGGGAGTCGTGCTCAGTGTCCAGGCTAGGGGTCCTTTACATGCCGCGCTCTGTCGGGGCTGGGGAGGTAGTGTGATCCTTTTGGTCGGCCTTCCTGTTTGTTCGGGGTCTTTGATCTTTATCAAGGTGGCTATCTGGGGTAACATCCTGATGCAGCTCAGCAGCTATCACAACTTGATACTGCCGGATTTCTTCCTTTTGCCACTTGGGGGCCTGGGTGTAGGGTTTGGATGAGGGGCCTGGGTGACCCAACTTTCAAGGGCCTTTGAACACTCTGGGTCTATGTCCTGGCTGGACTTCAGCGCAAATGAAGGGAACCCTCTCGAGGGAAGCCATGCAGCCTATGCCACCACAGAAACACAGCTGTGCACGTTTATAATAGAGGCCACTTCGAAGAGAAGAGTTTTATTGGCCTTGTGGATTGCTTTGTTTTTTGTGAATTCGTAGATGTTTATCTGAATGTTAATGTTAGCTCAGGATTGTTTACATTTCTACATCTGCTTTGGTTTTAAGGATATTATTGTTAGGTTAATATCTGTGCAGATTAAAGGCAATTATGATAATAAAAAAAAATTGCTAGCATTTTTTACCTTTAAAAACATTTCTCTGTTCAATTGTCCTCTCTACTCTTGTGCTTTGAACACCGAGTCTTTGCCATTTTCACCACCCTTCCCCACTACTACCATTCAGAAAGCTGCTTATTTTTCAAGTCCAAGTTCAAATGGAATCAGTTCTATAAAGCCTTCCTCATGCACTCCCAGGTGAGCGTGGACACTCCCCATCCTTCCGTCCTTCTCCCATACTTCCTAAATGGAACAAATAGCTATGCATTCAGCTTGATCTCATCTCCCCTTCACTAAATTGCAAGCTCCTTGAAAGAAAGTATTGCATCTTGCCTCTTTTGAGTAATAGAGCGTGCCTACAGCAGCACTTTTTATGAAGTAATTATTCAGCAAATATATTAATTCCATGCGTTCAACAGACTAACACACACACAACAAAAAGACAGTGGTAGTAATTTAATTTCTTAGGCAATTTAAAGCTGAAGTTAGAAAACAAACACATCTAGTCTGGAGAAGACAATACACAGCAATAATAGACTCTGACCAAAGAAAGGGTTGATTGTATTTTATCAACCAATTAGATCAAATTTGGCTCAGCAAACAATCACTTGCAAAACTATGAGGGACAATTGTTATTGAATTAAATGAAAAGCTCCTATTCTAAGATTTTTTAGATCTTTGGCTATTTTTATATAGGAAGGATGAAGTATTAAACAATGATGCAATTGATGCTTCCAAATAAATTTGCCAAAGAGGAAAGAGGTGGAGACCAGACCGAGTTATTCTGAGACTCTCAACTCTGATTGTGCTGTGGGGTCAAACGCTTGAGTCTCAACAAGCATTTAGACCACAGGCAATTGTGGGATCTCCTCCCTGAGCAAATAAGAAGCCTTTGTTGGGTTCTGTCAGAGAAGCTAGTACTAAATTTCTATGATGAAACCAGCTGAGCATTATTATGAAAACAAAAACATAGGTCTTCTTTTGGGAGGATGTGGAGTGTGAAGCTGATATTTTTATTTGAATTGTCTTGGGACATCCCAGAATGAAATTATTATAACTGGAGATCTCATTCTATAGACAAAAACAAGTCATGGAAATAAGGTGTTCTCTGGAATGGAAGACAAATTTAAAAATGGCAACTGACCACCTACTTTCTTCTGAAATACCTTGACAGGCTTCAATC